TGTAACTTGAGTGACATGTCTTAAAAGAAAGGTTTATAACACTTGTCAAATGTAAGAGTAAAAGTGTCCTACTCTTATACATTTGAAGTTGGTAAGTTGTGATGTTTTGGATTAAACAAAGACCAACTAAGGCCAATTGTGTGAAGTGTTTGTCTTGATAAAGAATCCGCACTATCTCTTGAATATTTGGCAAGATAGTCTTATATGTCAAGAGGACAGTGGGCGTCTTAAAGATCCTAAAAAGAATTTCAAGAACTAATCAAGAATAAAACCTGAGGTTCTTCACTAGCACACGACTTGAGGTTTATAACCTATCATGTTGACATATTCTGTGCCCATTCCAGTTAAAGTTGGCTTTGCATAGGAGTTCTGAAAGTTCTCAATTGGTTGCATAACAACTTGGAAGCAATGGCAGGCCCTGTACTGCCAGGTGGCAAGAAGTTAAGATTGCATAAGTTCAGTCCATATGAGTTTAGATTTGTCATTATCCTTGTCTTGTGACTATGGTTTTGACGATTCACATGGATAAGAACACATACACCATAAAATCTAAGGGTCATAAGGTTTCTCTCCGATTCATGAAAATGATGGTGAGGAAACACTTCCACCAAGTAGATTTGAAGTAGATGACAAAAGGTCTAAACAATTGAGACTATGATTACGGCATCCCTTTTCATAGTTCTGAAATTGTTTAGACACACATGCATGCTATCTAAGGAAAGGTGTATGATTTTGATAAAGTTTTATCAAAGCATCTCGTATCAGAAATCTGAACTTTGGTAAGGAAGTCAATAAAGTATTGATTTGTAGAAGTCCAGCTGATTTCTGAGTACATGTCAAAGCTAGTGGGAGCATAAGTGTTATGCTAATAATCATCATGTTAGTGGGAGCATGATAATTATTGTTAGTGTTGCAAGTTAGCAATGTTAATTATAGAAAACAAAAGTTTCAATTCTTGAGGCTGCAGGGATTGAAAAAGTTGTTTTTCTATAATTAAGGGAGAGGATATACTTCATTTCAGTTCTAAAGGCTTAGATTGAGACCTTAATCATCTTTAGTCAAGAATATATATATATATATGAATTTCATGTTGGATTGGTTCAACTTAAGGAAATTCTATATATTGCGTTCTCAAAATTCGATTATGATTACGGCATCCCTTTTCATAGTCAAATTTTGAAAACATGGCAAATAAAAATATTGTAGCAAAAGACTGGTCTAGAATCATGTCTTTATGTGAGACATCATGAATCATGCACCATTTTCTTTGGGTACAGGATCGATTGCATGTGCTATAATATTTGTCATTTCTAAATTTTTCCAAATGCCCAGAGGCATTAAGAAGGGAAAAGGTCTAGAATTGGATATGACTAAAATGATTAAGCAATTGTCGAGGACAATCTGAGGTTTACCAAAGATTGGTTGCTCAGGGACAGTTGGAAGTATACTGCTAATTTTAGAAGGACCATATTGACATATTCTGAAAAGAGGCATCTCTTATTCAGAAGTGATAGTCAAAATAAGAATATGGAGTTGTCTTCATAGGTGGAAGTTATCTATGTAAGATTAGAAAACTTAATGCAAGAAGCATGTCCAAAGCAATGTACTTTGAATATGAGACTTAGTTTCCATGGAGTTGATCTCCATTGGAATACCTTATAATGACTGTTGACAAGTCTTTGTGACTTTGTACATATTCATTACAGGAGGGTCAGTGCATATAAGTTTAAAATCTAAAAAGATTTCGATAAATGATAGGAATTTGAAATTCTCACATTTTTCGATAAGGATTTGGGAGTGTGAAATTAGAATCATTGAAATTATGTTCAACTGGTTTATTTCACAAAGTAAGGATCATAGACAAACATAGAGTGCATACTTAGTGTATGGCAAAGCTATTGTTTAGAAAAACATAGTGTACATGCTTGGATCATGGGACAACTAGTGTTTTTAATTCAGGTATAAAGTTGATAAAACCGAAACAATGAAATAATGAGTAATCAGTATGGTGATAAATAAAAGTGGTCTATTTATTTTCATAGGGTTTGATACCATATTTGATTCATTTATTCTTGTGTTTCATTTTGCATGTTTTGACTACCAGAATAAACTAGGTCATTCTTCCTGAATGACTAAGTTATTCAAACCATCCACAGTCGGTCATATGTTGGAAGTAGATATGAATCAAGACTGTCATGGGTTGGTTTGTAGAGGTCCAAGTTGGTGGAAAAAGTGGTGCTACAACACTCATGAGTGCTCATAAGTTCTGAGTATTGGATTCAACCCGCGCTCATTTGAATCACTTCATGGATTTTATCACGAGTGATCATGAGACGATAATATCTTATATTCTTCAAACCTAGAGATATGAGTTGTTACTATGAGTTGGTTGTACATTGATTGCACGAAAACGCATTCGGTAACTCGATGTTATAAAACGTGACTTTGTGTATGATTCAACAAGTAGTAGAACAAGCCATATGAGTTGAAGTTTATCCATTCCTTTTACCTTCGGGATAAAAGCGATATATGTGGGCCCCTCGATGATTTAAAGATGATACATGTGAGTGCTTGGCCAAGCCAGGACTGATTTGATTTGTTCAATCAGTCAGTCATCATGAATCAAAAATCGGGAAACAACAAATGGACAGAGAGAATGATTGATAATCCATGTCTCAGTCCATATGATATCTAGAATGGAGGAATACATGATCCCTTATCTAATGGACAAGTCATTGACAAAGGTCAGAGTTCATCGACAAGGTCAGAGTTCGACAGAAGCTTTTGAGAGCTACGATTGCTGATCGGTTCCTGAAGTCATACGCAATAATAGTTTTAGACTTATCCAAGTGGGAGACTGTTGGATTAATGTCTAAGTTCATAACTATAATTGGTAAGACTTGACCCGACCCGACATGGTCCATTTGGGTTGCATGGCATCATGCATTTGGATAGACTATAATGAGAGAAATAACACTTAAGGTTGGTTAATATATTATAAGTTCTAATATATTAATAGGTTATTTAATTAGTATTGATCAAGAATTAATTTGGAATTAATTAAGTGATCAAAAGGAGACTAATTAAATATATGGGTTGATTGTGTAAATCATTCATTCTTATATATGTGGGCTTGTGATCCAAGATTCCTTATGTTGGACTAAGTCCATGGGGTGACCCATGGATACTCCATGGAGGTTAAAATCCATGGAGCATAAGGAATGGGTAAAGTTATGAGTTACATGGTGTAACCTTATTAGCCACCATATAAAAGAATCCCATGGCTCAAGAAATCGTGCACTATTGTGTGAATATGAGGGCTAGACGATTTCAAGGAGTGTTCCATTACTCTCAAGTCATTCCATGTGCATTTGGTGTTGTGTGAACCATTTGAGGTGCCACACTTGGGGCACTAGGCACTCAAGCTTCATGGAGACAAGCTACATCAAACAAAGGTATGTATTTTATCCATTTGATTACCCAAGTATCAAGTATTGTATGCTAGATAGGGTAATACCTTGGAAAGTTCATAATTGCATGTATAATAGAGAAAACATAGATCCAAGGTATTTAGGGTTGCATGTACACTTAGGAGTGTTAGAATGCGCAAAACCCATCAATCAGACCATTCGTCGACCCAAGAAACGACCCAACATCTCCAACCTCCAGGCGGCGCAACGGACTCGTTCGTCGACGACTCATATCCGTGACTGCCATCAGCTCTCACAGGCGCTTCACGTTTCCACCGTCGGTCATTGATTCGTCATCGGATTTTCCCCTTGGTCTCGGTCTTATCTGTTGCCGACGACGGGAGAGGAACGAACAGCCGCCGTGACTCCTCCCCCAAGAACTGAAGGATCTCCTATCGCCGGCCACAGCTGTTCTTCCTCACCTTTTGGGCATCTCCTTCGCCAATTGTGATGATTAGATTCATCAATCGTGAAGATTAGAGGGGGCGGCTGCAAAACTTCCATCCAAAAGTCAAACCCGATTAAAGCAAGTGGGCCCATACACACTTGATACCCGGATGCAAGTTCACACGGACACAAAAAAGGAAGGGATTGCAATATGGGTTGTTTATTTGCAAATGGGCTATATTGCAATATTTGGGCCAGGACATTCGATTTGGACTCCTCATATATTGGTATTGGGCTATCTAAAACAATTAAAATGGATTGGTTTCTTACAAGAATAAATTAGCCAATTAACCACTTGACGCTCCAGCAAAATTTAATTTTAGAAGACGCAACACGGTCCAATCCACTCGGAACTTAAAAAAAAAAATAAGTTGGGCTAAGTACTTTAAATGGACTCTTAATAGTCTAATTTTGGGGCTCCTGGTCTAAACAATTCTTTTTGGGCTCATCCGCTTTTGGGGTTTCGATAATTTTTCGAGTTTTCATTAAATCATTTTTTGGGCTGGTTCAACAACAAAAATGGGCTACAAGACTCAGCCACTCGGTGCCCGAGTTCCGCATGTTCCGCTCCTCAAGGTCCATATTTAGAATGAGTATAGCGGTCAAAAATCATTCAACGCTTCAAAAAAAAAGAGGGGAAGAGTAGTACGCTACTACTACTAGTGAAGCATTTCGAATTAGACATCAGCAACTGCGCTGCGCGGCTATCAGCAGCCGTGTTGACCAATCCCGGGAAGTCGCTAATCAACTCTCACATTCTTGTTGACTGACCCCCGCTAGTCTTACTACCCAGCTCTTAGTAGTCGCACAGCTCGATCTTCAGCACCGACATGACCTAGCTCAGCAGCTGCAAAGCCCAGCCATCAACAGCTACTTTGTCTTACTCCCAGCAGTTGCGTTGCTTAGTTCTCGACAGCCGTGCTATCCGCTTTTTGTTAGCACTTGTGTCGCCTAGCTCTTTCCAGCAGCTATGTATCTCAGCTTTCAGCAGTTGTACATCCATATTTCCCTTTTCTTCGCCCTCTCTAAGGAAAAAGGGGGGGGGAGTATGGTCGGTACGACACCATGCATAAGTGATTCCGAATGGGCAGAGTTAAAGTACATGAAGAGATGATGTTATGCATGACAGTGCACTACCGAGGTGATATTAATATTCCGAGTCGAAAGATCAGCCCTGCTGTTCAACCCTCGGTAGTCTCGCTGCCCAGCTTTCAGCTGTCGTGCTGCTCATCTATTGCTAGCAGCTCGGTGCTCAGTTCTCAACGGCCCTGATGACCAGCTCTCGGCGGCGATCTCGCTACGCACCACTTGACAATAGCTACACTATCAAGCCCTAAGTAGCACCGCCACATAACTCTCCGCAAACAGCCAAGACAGCGAGTCATGATTTATTAGTACGACTAGCGATGCAGCAAAGCATCAGGTACCATTCCTCTTTAACCCAGACTTATCACACGAGCTAGACACATAAATTGTAGGGTGCTACGACCAATCATGCGAGGTTCAGTACCCTCGCCTTGAGTCGCCTGGCTTCTCAGCGGCTCCATCACAGCGACAAGCTCCGCATGCGAGGTTCAGTACCCTCGCCTCGAGTCGCCTGGCTTCTCAGCCCGGCTCCGTTATAGCGGCAAGCTCCGCATGCGAGGTTCAGTACCCTCGCCTCGAGTCGCCTGACTTCTCAGCCCGGCTCCGTTATAGCGGCAAGCTCCGTATGCGAGGTTCAATACCCTCGCCTCGAGTCGCCTGGCTTCTCAGCCCGGCTCCGTTATAGTGGCAAGCTCCGCATACGAGGTTCAGTACCCTCGCCTCGAGTCGCCTGGCTTCTAAGCCCGACTCCATTATAGCGGCAAGCTCTGCATGCGAGGTTCAGTACCTTTGCCTCGAGTCGCCTGGTTTCTCAGCCCGACTCCAGTATAGCAACATGCCCCGACCATTCTCCGCGACGCTCTCCCATGCGATCTATCTACGATCACTAGCAGCCAAGCCCGATCCTTTCCGTGCGATGCTCTCCCGCGTAACATCTCCATGATCATTGGCTGCTAGGCCCAAGCCACTCTCCATCGTCGCGCACCATAAGTCGCGCATCACAAGCTTATTCCACACCATGATCTTGGTGCTCCCTCCCTCACAGTCATCATGGTACTCTTGTGCTCGGACGATCGATGAAGTGTTATCCACATTACAACCTGCTATAGTGAGGATACTCTCCAACAAGAAGGTCATCCCGACAGCGGCCCGGCTACCTACGACCCCACATCACCTCTGTTTCCTGGCTCTCGGAAACAGTCCTGCTGCGTAACCCTACCTGTAGCCTTGTCGCGTATCCGGCAGCACCTCTGTTTCATGGCTCTCGGAAACAGCCCTCCTGCGTAACACTACCTGTAGCCTCGTCGCGTATCCCACAACACCTCTGTTTCCTGGCTCTCGGAAACAGTCCTGCTGTGTAACCCTACCTGTAGCCTCGTCGCGTACCCCACGGCACCTCTGTTTCCTGGCTCTCGGAAACGGTCTTGCTATGCAAGCCCAACCTATAGCCTCACCGCCTATCCCTCAACAATTGTATTGTCTGGCTATCGGCAATAGTCTCACTGCGTGACCCTCGCTAGCAACCTAGTCGCCCAGCTCTCGGAATATATTCCTCGCCTCCTCTAAGAAAGGGGGGGAGTTGGGTTGGTACGCCGCAATCCAGCTAGGTGTAGCCTGAGCAAGAAAGATCCTCAAGATGGTTATTAATGCAGACTATGTAGATGGTTAGTGGTGACATCCCATCTCGCATGGCTACTACAACAATCACGTCGGATAACAGTCTCAGGGACTGAATAACAAGCTTACGCTTCTTAGCTACCCCGGTCCGACATTCGACCGACATCAGTGTCGCGTAACACTCTTTAGCAACCTCGGTCTACATGATCGCAACAACAGTTACGTTGCATCACACCGATTAGCTCGCACTCCTCTCAATGAAGGAGCATCAAGTCAGCTCAAGCCGCATAAGCAACGTTTGGCTCATCGCATAACCCCACGGCTCTCGTGGGTAAGGTTCGGTCATTCTATCTATTATTTAAATGCTTTGGTGCTTTATCTAGTCTGATCCGATTGTCAGCAACCCAATTGCATCAGACTAGGGGGACTTGACGACGCACAGTTTATATGACTAGTTCCAGTCCGCTGTCATTGGCTGCGTACCAATAAAACCAGACTGGGGGGACTTGATGATATATGGTCCAGACGGCTCGAGCGCCCCAGCCTGGCCTGGCGCGCTCTTGCCAACCTTGTCGGGGACTCCCTTGCCAGCCTCGCTGGGGACTCTCCTGTTGGTTTATACGACTTAGTCCACTCCGATGTCATTGACCACGTACCAATAACACCAGACTGGGGGGACTTGATGATATATGGTTCATTGGCATGGCCTAGACTGCTCTAGCGCGCCAGCCTGGCCTGGCGCGCTCCTGCCAGCCCTGCCTAGTGTTCTCCTGCCAGCCCTGCCTGGCGTTCCCTTGCCAGCCTTGCTGGGGACTCCCTTGCCAGCCCTGCTGGGGACTCTCCTGACGGCTCGGTCAGGCGCTCCCTCGCCTGGCACTCCCTTGCCATCCTCTCCTGGTGTGCGCCTGTCAACCCTGCCTGGGGCGCGCCCGCCAGCCCCGCCCGGCGCCTCCGGGCGGCCTCGCCCAGCTCCTTGCTAGCTGGGCCTGAATTGGGCTGGCCCAAGGCCTGACCTAATTGTCCCCTATATAATGAACAGTACCTCCTCCATGAAGGAGGACTCTCTCCCAAGTGGTTCAGTCGCCACTAGATCTTCCCTTTGGCTCAGCCGCCGCCCTATACTCCGGCCGGGAGGCTCAACCGCCACCCGCCGCCGTCATCCACCATACACCACCACTAGCACCAAGATAGTTCCCTCCAGCTATGGAGAACCATCTCAGATCTTTCAACTGATCTAACTTGACCGTCGGAGTCTGCTCCCGGGTCACAGCCCCTGGGACGGCTCTAACGACTTTGCACTGTGATGTCAGATCTCCGTCGCAGCAGAAGACCAGAAGAGTCGCCGGAGGTCGATGTCGCATCAATATACGACCTGGAGGGTCATCAATTATTCAGCCGTCGATCAGCATGGTTACATACGAGTTCACATTGAAACCTTTAATTAACCAATTAAGAATTAAAGGCAAAAATTGACTTTTCGAGGCGTATTGTTCATTTAATACCACCTGGAGTCTACATGTTACTACTTTAGACTCCCCTAGGTGTACTGTACATTTAGTACTACCTAGAGTCTGTATTTCATTACACTGGTGATTTTGTCACATACACGTTTAAATAAACTATATTTTTATAATGATAGTTTCACTGAGGAAAAACTCTTACTCTACATAAGGAACAAATACACAAACAATCGGGTCTTCGTAGAAGACTACATTTTTACTGGAAAATATAGCATTTTCTAGGGAGTATACTATTTACAAACATTTGAAATCAGTTACTACCTTAAGTTGTTACAAACATTTTTATACAAGCAATGACACTAAATACTTATGAACTCACCAGCTTTATGCTGATAACTCTTTCAAAATAACTTGTATTCTCCGGTCATCAGTAGACAGGTACAGATGAAGCTTTTGAGAAGATGGAGCACATACAAGACTCATCTTTATTTTGATTATACATTTTGGTGTCTTACAAACTATACATAACACGCTTGTATTATAATTATTATATTAATGCAATGGATGTTGTTGCTTGTCTTTACTATTATGCATTGTTATTATACTGTACATGACGTCCTCCACCCCAGAACGTTTCCGCCGTTCCGGTTTTGGGGTGTGACATATTGGTATCAGAGCATTGTTTATAGTGAATCGAGTATATCAACCCATAAATGATATACAAACTATAAACACAACGGGATTAAAACACTCTGACCAAGAATATATACTTTTAAATAATAAAATATTTAACTAAGTATATATATACATCTATTCATACCAGGGTCAGTATCATACTAGAACAGAACAAAAGTATTATGATTGTTGAACAACACAATTAGGCTTAGAGACATATAGTCAAACCTAGGGGGGATATAGCCTGATCAACTATATTTTCCGAGGAGTGACTAGCATGTGCCTAAGAATGATTGTGCTGTTGCAACAAGTCTAAAAACTTACCAACATTACTACAACAAGAACCTTAGAACAGAACTTAAACCTAAAATACTATAGGAGTATTTTGTGTTACTATAATTACCAATGTGCCAACTAAAAAGGATCTTAATTAGCACGTCTATTAACTATTCTTTTCCCCATTCTCACGTAGATAACATGGTTGGCTTCCATCTCCCTGGCGATCCGTATAATCCCAACCAAGGAATTGGTGGATGGCTTGATTATGAGCCAGAAGATGATCACCCAATCCCTTTGGATGATCACCTCGCAGAAAGGCTTTTCGAAGGGCACCGACTCCGAACCAGAGGTCAACAACCTACCCCAAGAATTTCCAATTCCAAACCTCAACCCCCGTCCGAGATTTCAAGGTCCCACTCCCTTGTGGGCAACAACCTTGAATCGATGGAGTTATGAGCAGGGTCAGCCCTTACCTTTCAACGGAGACCGAAGCTTTTACAACATAAGCGAGGGAGGCCCAGCTGACCGAGTCCTGCCCATTGTGGTCCACAGGATTGCTCGGAATTTCGAGCAAGGTCATGCAGCCATCGTCCGAGTAATGGAAGTTGACGCAAACTCTGGCCTTAACACAGTCCGCATTCGCCGACTCGAAGAGGCTATGGATAGGACCAGGAGAACCAATGAGACTCTGCAGCAACAGTTAGCTGCATCCCGAGCCGAAGTCATGGAACTCCGAGTGCATAAGAGGGCGCATGAGCGACATCTTCAGGAAGTTGTACGTCAACTGGCAGAGCTGAGGGTTCGCCCGAGGGATACCCGCCGCCGGTAGAAGATGTCGACTCATCTTTCTCTTGTGATTAAGGAATAGCCTTTCTTTTCCATGCCCTATGGAGCACTTGTCTGTAAACATTTCTAACTTTGAAAGTACTCCAACTAGACTTCTAAGCTGCCAACATTTTCCTTTATGGTTTGATGTAAGACCTACTGTTAGGTCATTTTTCCCGAACTCATTTTACATCATTAATACCAATAATATTGGCAGTCATCTAATATATGGGAAAGTCTTTACCTTTATGATTCCCTACTCTATTGTTATACCTCTATCTGATAGTTATACTATGGTGATTTAGTGTATGAAACACTCTCATCATACTTACAATTGATTCTTACTATTATCATCATCTCCATCCACTTTCAGTAAAAGATGCCGCCTCGCCCTCGTCTGACCAGGGGCAGACCTGCAAATCAAACTCCATCACCACCACCTCCTCCGCAGTTCTATGCGGTGATGTTTCAGGCAGCTGTGACCGCAGCGGTGACCGGCGCCATGGCCCAAGTAAACTCTGGTGGTGTTAGTGGAACGGTTTACTGGCACAAACTCCAGCCATGGCGAAATTCATCCACGTGCACGGGAGTGCACCTATAAAGACTTCATTAGCTGTAAACCTACGTACTTCAATGGAACCGGAGGGATCATTGCACTGTCCCAATGGATCGAGAGAACAGAAGCAATCTTCGAGATGTGCTCATGCCCTGAAGGAAGCAAGATAAAGTTCGCGGCTTGCACCTGCACCGAAAGGGCCCTGACGTGGTGGAATGGCCATGTCAAATCACTGTCACTGGTAACAGCCAACGCCATGGGCTGGGATACACT